TATTCACCAGTAAGATATGCCAGCAGTTTTAGATTATACGCTGTACTGTGCATGTGAGCACATTAGGAATAGTACAGCAGGAAACATTCTGGAAAACCAGCATCAAAGGCTTTTGCATTTGGGCCACAAAGAGAAAAATATCGTTTTCTGGTAAAACAGTTCTGATGAATACTGGAGTAAATCTCAGAAGTCGATATTTGTGTCAATATGATTCATCACTAAATGTAGGAATTGCAACTGACCTTACTTCCAAGAAGACTACGCTAGTATGGTTGCCACTGGGGGTAATACAAAAGGATAGTCAATAGGTTTATTTTGGTTTTACTGAATGTTCCGGTCATAAATTTACTTTGGCCCACACTTGAAGACAATAGTGTTACTGCTGAAATGTGCATGTGTAATGTGTATTCTGGGCTTTCCTTTTCAGGAAGATGATGCTCCTTTGGATGCATATTTAAATTACAATGTTCATAACACACAAACAGATGAGGCAATCAAATTTTTTTTTAGTGAATTAAACACCAAAGCAAAATTAAGACATCTGAAGAAAAGCAGTTTAATTGAGACCATACATCTCAGCTCATCAAGAATAGGTATAATATAAGGCAAAAGACTGTAAAACAAACCTCAGAGATAGAAGAAGAAAGATTGATTTGCCTTGAGTGTTTAACAGCTTGTGCTTTCTCAGACTTCTCCAAGATACCTATTTGGGGCAATGGATACAGTACAATCTATTTTGTAGAGTAACCCCATACCTGCTCACTAAAGCACTCGAGTACTGTACAGTTAGAATTAACAACATTGTAAGTAAATTAATACTATTTAAAACCACCTTCTTGTAACTTGGAAATAGAAAACCCAACGAGGCTTAAGCACAAAAAAGTAAAAGGAAATGGGGGCAAAATAGAACTATTACAGGTGCATAAGTTGTTGGGGGTGACTTTAAAGATCGCAGTGTCGAATAGGGGCCTAAAATGCGAGCAGCTATTGGAGTTTGTGGCCTATGTGTGGAGAAGGAGCTGTGTGACTGCGCACAGAAACAGTACTATCAGGAGGACATCACTACTGGTTTTCCCTTAAAATTTCCATGGATATTGTACCCACTTTCTCTAAGCTGCATTTGATCCACAGGGGTTTAAGTGACTAGTCCAAGGTCACATTGCAGGTAAGTGGCAGAGTCAGAAATATAAGCAAGAATTCCCGGCTCAGTGCCCAGCTCTCATCACAATACCACTTAATTTCATGCATCCTATCTGATTGTTAATGGATACATTGAAATAACTTTAAGCCCTTTAACAAGCTCTTTTGTCCATTCTACCCTTTTTTGTGACCTGCAAAAATGGAGTTTAACTAAAGTTTAACAATCAGAAGTGTTGTGCAATTTTCAGGACAGGTGTTATCCCCCAGGTAAGCACACGTTGCTTGTTAGGGAATTCTGTGGGTCTGCAGTGCATATATCTATAGGTCTTGTCCTTCTCTTGGCAGGCAGATTTCTTTTTCTTTTGTTGCTAATGTGCTATGCCGTGGTTAATGTTCACAGTAATTTAAGGGGTTTTTTTCTTTTAAGAGAATGAAAAATGGTAAGGAAGGTTTAGAGGGTTCATTTACTATTTGAAGTAGAAGCAGCAGCACAAGTAGTTATGAATATGAAAATCTACATTACATTTTTGGAATAACTGGGTGTCTCCCAGCCGAGAGTCACTGAAATATTCTAAGTATTGCTGTGATGCTTGAAGTTCCTTCCGTGGACCTGAAGAAGAGCTCTGTGTGGTTCAAAAGCTTGTCTCTCTCACCAACAGACGTTGGTCCAATGAAAGATATTACCTCACCCACCTTGTATCTCTAAAATACTCTAGTTATACAAAGAATAAATTAGTTTATAGTGGAAAAGAACTGATTTATCTTCCAATGTAAAACCCAGCTTCCTTCTGGATGTCTGAATCATAGACAGAGCTTTTTTCCAGCATGTTTAATCTAAGATTTAAATATTTTAGAATTTGTGTAATGCACTCCAGCAATATAGTAATATTATGGTATTTAAAGTGCAGTGTTTATGCTGGAGTAAAACTGTTTATACCCTTTGGGTGTGGTTTTTTTTTAATTTCTCCTACATTATTTTCCTATAATATGCCCTATTCACGAGAAGGATGCCAAACTGGCAGAAATGGAGACTGAAATATTCACTTTATCCTACAGACAGTGTAGGATTTTCAAGAAAGCGGGGAATCCCAGGCTTCAGTGAATTGTTATTAATTTATGACATCAAGATTTTAACAGATGAACCCGGCTTAAAATTTTTCACTCAGAGACCCCAAACTTTGTCTCCACATCTCTCTCTAGCCTATTTCCTAGTGAGTCTGTCATCTGTTAGATGTATGTGGTGTCTAGCAGACGGCATTATGCAACAGGCAGCAGCAGTGCAAGCTTTCTTCGTGCTTGTCCACATGGTGGGTAATGTGCTCTACAGGGGAGTGATTTCTAAAGTACATTAATGGGTTGTACATTAATTGTTCCATGCTGGTACAGTTGACTGTGGTGCTGTTTGAAACAGTACTGCGTTAAAGTGCACTAGGGAATCTCTGTTTGGACCAATTAATGAGCAACAAAGTAGTGTGCTTTAGAAATCACACCCCTGTAGAGCACATTGCCGCACTGTGTACACAAGCCCTTAGATAGCCCTGCCAATGTGCTGATCTGGAAGGACTAATCCAGGAATAGTTCAGTATCCATGCCCATTCATTCCTCAGCCTTTCTGATGAGACTGCCAAAAAGAGACAATGAGCACCAAATGGCATAGCAATTTTTGCGAAGTGCATGGATTCCACATTAGCTTTCAGTCCATAGAAGCCTAGTTCACTCAGGACTGTTTTTGCCATATAATTAAGCAGTGCTTTCTAAACAGCATAAATGGGTAAATACCTTTTCCAGTTACCTAATCATTAGGGAGCATGACTCCTAGGAAAGCTTGTAATAATGGAAGTATTCTGAGCTAACTTTGGTATGGCTTTACCACTGTACATAGGAACTACTGTGTTTGTTTTACCTATTGGTAAACAATAGAATTCTTAGTGGCAACAGCTGTATGTGTGAAAGGTAACCAAATACAGTAGAACTTCAGAATTACTAACACTTCAGGAATAGAGGTTGTTTGTAACTCTGAAATGTTTGCAACTCTATACAAAACGTTCTGGTTGTTCTTTCAAAAGTTTACAACTGAACATTGACTTAATACAGCTTTTAAACTTTACTATGCAGAAGAAAAGTGCTGCTTTTAGCCATTCTTATTTAAATGAAACAAGTACAGAAACAGTTTCCTTACCTTGTCAAATCTTTTTTTTAAACTTTCCCTTTATTTTATTAGTAGTTTACATTTAACACAGTACTGTACTGTATTTGCCTTTTTTGTGTGTGTCTGCTCTTGCCTGATTGCATACTTCTGGTTCCAAATGAGGTGTGTGGTTGACCAGTTAATTTGTAACTCTGAGGTTCTACTGTATATTCAAACACCACAGTTACCAGCTAACCTGGTATCAGAGGGGTAGCCGTGTTAGTCTGTATCCACAAAAACAATGTCTCTTGGTATTGACACCTCCTCATCAATTATTGGGAGTGGACCACATCCACCCTGACTAAATTCGCCTTCAACATTGGTTCTCCACCTGTAAGGTAACTCCCTTCTCTTCATGTGCCAATATATATGTTTGCCTGTATCTAATTTTCACTCCATTCATCTGAAGAAGTAGGTTTTTTACCCATGAAAGCTTATGCTCTAATAAATCTGTTAGTCTTTAAGGTGCCACCGGACTCCTTGTTGTTTTTTGCAGCTAACCTGGTCACACCTCATGGAAAATAGAAATAGATCTCTTCTGTTCCAAAAATATTGCCCTATTTCCACTAGCTGTCAGTAGCATTTTCTCAGTTGCCTTTTTTTATCAGCCATTAGAGTTTGAGCTAAAGGGAAAACCCCCAATGATAAAATACTACTGATTAAGATTAATTCTCCTGACATACCAATTTCTGCTACTTCTGGAACAAAGATGAGGAGAACATGGTGTTCTTCTCTAATAGGTTCTGTTCTCTTTGAATTCTGTAGGAAAATGAGCACAACATAAGGTCAGAAAGGATTTGGTTTGCTTGCACCATTCAAGTGCGTATCTATATCCATGCATCCAAAGAGAAGGCAAAAAAGACTATTGGGAATTCTAAGTAATAAAACTGCTGGATTAATGCAATCTCTTGCCTCGTGCCTCTGGTGGGTCATGCTAAATCACCTAAAGGAATGTCTAACCTTGTTTGGTAAAAAGGAACATAAAAACATTGCATTTTCTGAGCTCAGGCAGAATTTTAATCACCTTAGAAAGCTGGGGGGGAAATAAAGTTGTCTCCCTGTGCTGCTAGAAAGATTTCTTTATTTTCCCCAGCTGAACTAGACTAGAGAGGAGTTATCAGACCTCTTATAAATTAGACAAAGATGCATAAAGTTTATTATTGTTGATGTGAGTATTGGATGAACATAACACGATTCTGATCTCACACTGGCTTTACACCTATTTAATTCAACTGATTTAAATGGAGTTATTCCTGTTATACATCAGTGTAAAATCAGAATAGAATCAGACCCAGTGTGTTGCTGCTTTGTGTCTTATGATTTATATTACCTGTGCAAACTATATGTAGTGAATTATTTAGTCCGTAGATTTAGCCTTTTTTGTGTCTATAAGTTATCTGCACATAGCGGGCCCATTTTTACAGATTTTTTTCATTATTCAGAATTGACAGATTTTATATGAATTTATTTCAGACTATGAATTGATGACACATTATTCAATTTGATTACTTGCTATTGGTTGCCTAAGTCACCAACTATTGTTTATGCTCTGGGATTGGATGACTGAAGAATTTATAAACAGATGAAAAGGAATCACATACATTTTAAGAAGGCCACATTCACCCTCCTGGCAAAAACCATGGCAACAAACACATTTTTCACAAGTATGTTTGAGATTTACCTAATTTGTGAATAAAAACCAAAAACAAATCACTGGTACGATGTTCATAGGAATGAATATAAAGTATTGTGAATGCCACTAAAGTGAATTTACAGGCTTTATTAGAACAAATATTTGGAAACATATTGTTTGCCATATTTGTTGAGCTTTAATTAATATTCATAGGTACTTGTTCTACAATTAGCTTTCATTGGGACCACACCTGTTCCACTTGCAGTCAGTGGAAAATGCTCCACTTGACTTCATTTGGGGGTAGGACTGAGCCTTTTATTCATAAATTTTTCTTTCACTGAAGTGATTTTCTATGCTGCATTACAGGCCAAACAGGCTTTAACTTTCACTGTGGTTGTGCTTGGTGAAACACAGCTATCAGGTCAGTTCCATTCCCCGCTACCCATTGTGCAATGGGAAGAATGTACTTCACTCAGTTCTCTAGGAAGGTCAGTGGGCCAGATCCTCAGCAGTGTAAACCAGTGTAGCTTCAGAGTCTAGCTCACTAATGCAAATGAATGTTTTGTCTGTTTTGAAGTTACCCCCCCCACCACCACCACACTCTTTGAATGCCTTGATATTGACCTTCTCTAATTTTTCTTTTTTATAGAATATTTATGGCCTTTATATTTATGTAGATAAATAAGGTGCAGATCTTGCCCTCAGTTTAATCCATGCAGCCCCATTGTCCTCTCCATTTGTCACTTAATCTTGTTCCTGTTTGTCACAAACTGCTTCTGATTAGTTCCAATACAATTTGATTAGTTCTTCTGTGGTACAAAAACTCCTGAAAACCTGCAGAAGTCAAGGTAGTTAAAAATAATGAGAGGTTGTTGATTGTTTTTTCCTTAACAAGTGTCACTTGAGCATGTCCTGTATATTCACCAACATTTCTTAAACATCATTTCCATTAGTATATTTCACGAGCCCACATAGCCTTCCTACTCTTCATTTACTAGTGTGTATGGGGGTGTATGGAACAATATTGCTGATTGCCATGGCAGCATGGTGCATATCTGCAGCTATCATTAATTCTTAATGGAAGGGTTCAGGCCGCAAGGAACCCATAAGTAAAGGAAGCCAATTTAATCTTTAATGGAAATTGGTTTTAAAAATAGACATTGCAAAAAGAGACAAATGATAACTAGTGTTACACTTGTGAATCTCATGAATGGCTAGAACATCTTAGAAGTTCAGATTTTCTCACTGGCCATTTTAACCCTTTGTGACTTATTTCACAATAATTTTTATGCATATCTTCTCCTGTCAGATGAATGTGCTGAATTCTGGAATCAGTAGTCCTTCATGTAGTAAGGTATTAAGACAGTAAAATGTAGGTGGTTCTTTATGAATGTGATGTGCTACTGGGTTTATTTTAGAGGGAAAGACCAAAACATTTCTGAATGCATTGTAAAAAATGGAGAGACTTTTAGCAAGGACAGTTGAATAGTTTGTCTTCAGAGACCCCATATGGCTAACAGTGCCTCGCCTACAATTATTTACCCTGGCAATCTTTCTCGTGATTCATTTTCTATGCTTGTTTAGTCTAAAGCTTCCCCTGGGTAGAGACTGCCTGCTGTACCCGATTTATAGATGGTGGCTATCATGGTTATCATTTAAGAATTAATTGTTTGTAACAGACACATTCTCAAGAAAGAATAGGGATGAGTAGTACTTAAGCCCTATTCAGTGTTCAACTCCTGAGCATGACAAATTTAGGCTGATTTCTTTTTTTAAAAAAGCAAGGTGGAGACAAGTGAATTTCCATAATGTCTGTAGAATTAAACCTTTTCTCCATTTTTGACTGCTCACAGAGGCAATGGCTTCAAGGCTTTCAAGATCTGCATAGTAATTCCTTACTTTTTTAGTCCTTGGACTCAGTTCTCCACTCTGTTACACTGGTTTAAAACCAGTATTATTCTACCAGTGCTCAGGGTAACACTGGTGCAAAACTAGCATAATGGAGCAGAAAATCAGGTCCTTTTTGTTTTTATATCACAAAACAATATTTCATTTCAATCCATCATACAATGTTACAAGAAAAAAACCTAGTAGTTTCCTTTAAAGATGACTAAGCTGTACTACCTTAGGGCCTGATCCTGCAAATGCTTACACGTGTGAGTTGTTTTGCTCATGGGAGAAGTCCCATTGAACTACTCAGGTAGTCATGTATAAGTGTTTGCAGAACTATCCCCAACCCAGCACAGCCAATGGGACTTACGCCCCTTCTTAAAGTGAAGGGCATGTTTGAGTGCTTTGCTGAATAAGAAAGGATTGCCGAGCCAGGGCCTAAAAGGATGTTTAATAAAACCAAAAATGTAATAAAGGAAATCTGCCATAGTTTCAGCATCTCTATAACTAAAGAAGGATCTCCCAGGCCGAGATGCTACTTCCACAGAAAGTCCCGATTAATGATGTCGGACAGCCTGGGACACGAACTGCAGCTCAGCATTTGGATGCCCCGGAAAGGCTTGGAAAGTTATTGTTGGGTACAGCTGATTATTATTTTAAGGCAGGGTGTAGTTGGTCCCAGGCATGTGTAGGATCTGAAGGAAGGATTGCGGAGGCCACCTAATGATGGGAAACGGAAGTTGTAGAAGGTCAAAGTTTCAGGCCCTTTTGGAAACATACTACTAGTCTGAGCACATGGAGCACCCTGCGTGTATAAAAAAGGAGAGGGCAGTCATACATGTGCATTAAGGCAGCTTTTTCTGCTAACCTTCAGGGTCAGCATTTGTAAAGAAATCATGTAAAGAGTGCTTATGTTACCAAAAAATCATAACTCTGACTATACGACGTGGATTCTTACAACAGCTTTAAGAGTCTCCTGCTTTTCTGATGTATTGAGACACCTAGCGTCATTTCCTGTGGCTCAGACTTTGCCATCAAACTACATTTAATTGTTCTTTTAAATGACTTCAAAAAGCTTAAAAAAAAGTGTGTGTGAGAGATATACTCTTCTCTTCTTAGTAATGCGATAGAGACTACTGATTAAAATATCTATTCTATTACTCTGAAGCTTTGCTTTGAGGAAATTGACTCCACCTAAGTGTACTAGATGAAACTGAATGCCATAGTAATGCTTAATAACATGTATATATTTTGCTAGACTAACGTGAGTTGGGATGGAGATAAACTTCTTTGCGTACAGAAAGGAGAAAAAGAAGGCCGTGGTTGGACCCAGTGGATTGAAGGAGATGAAATGCATCTGGTATGGTCGTGTAACATGTTTTAAATGCCATAATTTCTTCTCTTATTTATTCAAATAGATGAAAGTAATAGCACACAGCTTGCCACACATTATCTTGGCTTACCGAGGAGTAATTAAACATTGGTGTTGCATTTGACTTGCTTCTAGAGGAATAATTTCATGCTGGGCGATTATTCTCTCATGCCCCTTTTGCAAAGAGCAGTGTTCTAAATTCAGGCAATCTTTGTGTTAACTGTCTGTTCTCAGATCTATTCATTTAAATTGTGTGCAGAGAGGAAGACATGTCATAGAAATATCCTTCATGCACTCAGTGATATAAACAGTATAGGGACTGATGAAATTCTGTATCCAGCAGCATAAGCCATAGTGAGAAAAAAATACCATTGTTCTTTTTAATTATGGGCTAGAATGAATTCTGGCTTAGAAAAATAAAGAGAGCAATTTTGTTTTTAAAATGCTGTGTTCTTTCTGACTGTTGTGTCTATATTTCCTAGTTAACAGCAACTAACATTTGTTTTTCTGGATAGAGGTTCATAACATCCTCTTTGAAGCCCACCTGATGTGGTAAAATGTTCTTTTCTCACTGAAGGAAGCAAATCAGACTTCTAGTCCCACTCACTGTTCAATTCACTAAGCACCTAGAAGTGTTCTGTTTAGAATGCTGACTCCCTGTCTCCAGATCAGTAACACAATGCCATCAGAGATCTCTGCAACAGCACCCAGAGCCCACTGAATGCCACTGTACTGCATAGGAGGGTCTGCAAAAGGTTAGGAGGGAAAGAGGTCCAGAAACACATTTAGGTCTGTCCCAGGTAATCAGTTTTTTTTCTCCACACACTGCCTAATGCCTCTGTGTGTGACCTCCATGGATGATACCATGGCGCCATTGAAGTCAATGGTAAAACTCCCACTGACTTCAGCGAGGTCAGGATTTCACCCACGCATATATTTTTCAGTCAATATAGTTTCATTGTGCTCAGTTTTACATCACTTGGCATGCTGGCCTAGAGCTACCATCGTTGCATCAAGAAATAATGGATAGGAATCCCCTTTGAGCCTGCTAATCCTGCTTCTGAATCAATCTGCATGACAGCTCCTTCCTTCAGTCATTCGTTCCCTCTGTGGAGCTGAACACGCGCTGCCTCAGTAATGCTCCCAGACCTTGCTGAGGAGAGAACTTAATGAGGGGGTCAAAAGTCAGAGCTGAATTTCCCACTGACATTGCAGAGCACTTATTGTAGGGAAAACCAGCCAGTTCTTCTTGTTGTCCAGGTCCCCATTCCTACATATGTCTAGAGTATTCAGGTTCCAGGCAGGGGAAGTCTGCTAGGGGCCATGGAGAAAGGAATCCTTGTCACAAGACTGCAGCACAGCTGTGGAGTCCTGCTATGTTTATCTTTAAGATCATGTGTTACTCCATCCCTTTTCAGCAAAACAATTACATACGTGCTTAAGTGCCATTGACTTCTCAGCATCCAGGCCTGCTGCTTCAAGGGCTCTCTGGGCCCCTGGGGAAGGTTCCTAGTCAAGCAGACACATAACCAACATTCCAGCTCAGCATGACGTGCCAAATCACATTATTGTGTACCCGCCACGGACTGACACTGCTGTATACAAAATACTCTGGGTGGAGAAAGTCTCTAAATTGCTTTAATGCCCAGCCTTTTCTTATGTACATTTTGTCACTTCTTGTATGTTTCACTAACTCAAAAAGGCATCTTCAGACCCATTGAATCCTCATGTGGTCTCCTCTCCTAGACTTTTTTTTTATATATATATATATAAGGTCAAAACCCCATTTCTTGTAAAACTTTTAAATAATTGAGATTTTCAGGTCTCTGTCGTTCCGAGAGCCCTTTGGTGCCAAGGCGAATTACCATAAACACATTTTATGATACTTCAATAATTATTTTATGATCCTATTGAACTTTACACAATGATCCAAATATTAATTTAATCCTTTGCACAGTTTTATAATACATTGAGTGTTATGCCTTCGGGTTTAGTAGTTTCTCACCAGATGCTTGCACTCTGCTAGTTCTCCTGGTCTGAATTTTGTAATATGACAGTCTTCTTTCCTTCTTTTTTCCCCCTTTCTTCCTCAAATTCTATTTCACTACAGTGACTTAAAACAGGCAGTTATCTGGCCATTCTCCCGTTCCTTCTGAATTTTATAGCCTTTTTCTTTTGTATTGACTGTCCCTAGCAGTTTGTGGGTGTTTTTTTAATCAGTAGGTTTCATAACTTTACTGCATGTTCCTTTTTCCAGATCATTGATATATCAAACTGAACAAAATTGGTTCTAATACCAATCCTTGTAGAACTCTACTAGTTCTTTCCATTCATCCTCTTACTAGTAACTTTGAAATCCAGCCATCCATTCAAGGAGCTCAGCCCAGTAATACACTTACTGTACTAGATTAGTCTTTTGTGTGATACTATATCGAAAGCTTTCCTTTAGTCCAAGCAAATTATGTTCATGACTTCCCTGTCAACTCTGCCTCACTCCCTGAAAATGTTCAATAAGACTTTTTCAAAATTTTCCTTCAAATTAGGTCTCCTAAGTTCAGTTAAGTCAGAAATGTCTAAGTTCAGCCCTTTCCTATCCCTCAAGAGGTTTTCTCAATACTGTCCCCACCGCTGAAGTAAAGTTTGTGAAGCTGTAATTTGCTGGATCTTCTCCAGAACACCCCTACAGTGCCTATCATTTTGAAATGACCATTTACCACATTGTGGTATTTATCTTTATTGACGTATTTCCTATATTTAATGTGGAAAATATGGCAAATAGCATAGTAAATATAACTACTGCTTATGGGAGATGTCCGGTTTTTAATGATATCCATTCCATCTCTCTTGCTACATCCTTGATGATTCTGGAACAGATCCTCTTTGCTTGTTCTGTGTCTTAGGTCCCAGTCTTGCAAGCTGTTGTGTGTGGGTAAAGCTCTGTGCGGGAACAGGAGTCTACCTATGCAGAGCAACTGGCAGGATTGGAACCTTAGACTTTGGGGTGAAATCCTGGCCCTGTTGAAGTCAGTAACAAAACTCCCATTGTCTTTAGTGGAATCAGGATTTCACTCCAGATGTTTAATATCTTAATTATCTGTTCAGGCTTTATCTTGATTTTCTTCAGTAGTTTCCTCCCTAACCAATCTTCCTTTGTGAACACTTGAGCCAAACAAATTATCATCCCCATCTTTCAGAGGCCGCAGTGTCTCCTTTATTTTACTTTGTTCCTTGTGTACTTGAAGGCTTTTTTCTGTTTCTCTTTTCCTCTATCTAAAGTATTTATTTAAATAATTGTCTAGTTAGATGCAAGCTTCCTTTTCCTTCATTTCTTTGTCTAATCGTTTTATACGATTTACCTTTCTTTTAACTGCAGTCCTATTTTGTACATGCCTTTCTTCCTTGATCATTTTCTGCTTTCCTTCCTTCACCCTCATTGGTCTTTTGTATTCCTCACAAAACTAAGTGATTGGGCAACAAAATGGCAAATGAAATTTAATGTGGATAAATGTAAAGTAATGCACATTGGAAAAAATAATCCCAACTATACATACAATATGATGGGTGCTAATTTAGCTACAACAAATCAGGAAAAAGATCTTGGAGCCATCGTGGATAGTTCTCTGAAGATGTCCACGCAGTGTGCAGAAGTGGTCAAAAAAGCAAACAGGATGTTAGGAATCATTAAAAAGGGGATAGAGAATAAGACTGAGAATATATTATTGCCCTTATATAAATCGATGGTACGCCCACATCTCGAATACTGCGTACAGATGTGGTCTCCTCATCTCAAAAAAGATATATAGGCACTAGAAAAGGTTCAGAAAAGGGCAACTAAAATGATTAGGGGTTTGGAACGGGTCCCATATGAGGAGAGATTAAAGAGGCTAGGACTTTTCAGCTTGGAAAAGAGAAGAATAATGGGGGATATGATAGAGGTACATAAAATCATGAATGATGTGGAGAAAGTGGATAAGGAAAAGTTATTCATTTATTCCCATAATACAAGAACTAGGGGTCACCAAATTAAAATTAATAGGCAGCAGGCTTAAAACAAATAAAAGGAAGTTCTTCACCCAGCGCACAGTCAACTTGTGGAACTCCTTACCTGAGGAGGTTGTGAATGCTAGGACTATAACAGCGATTAAAAGAGAACTGGATAAATTCATGGTGGTTAAGTCCATTAATGGCTATTAGCCAGGATGGATAAGGAATGGTGTCCCTAGCCTCTGTTTGTCAGAGGGTGGAGATGGATGGCAGGAGAGAGATCACTTGATCATTGCCTGTTAGGTTCACTCCCTCTGGGGCACCTGGCATTGGCCATTGTCAGTAGACAGGATACTGGGCTAGATGGACCTTTGGTCTGACCCGGTACGGCTGTTCTTATGTTTATTCCTGCAATATCCATTGCTAGATCATGGGCATTTATTAATTTATCTTTGAACACATTTCATTTCCTCTTCTTTTGTTTTATCGTATTGATTTAATTTCTTGCGTTCTTTGTAAGTTTTCTCAAGTAAAATCAACAAGCAGATCTGAAAAAGCAAGCGGTGGCCATTTCCTAATCTCTGCCCACTTGTGACCCCAAAATGAGGAGCAACTTGAGGCATATAGTGCAGATTTTCATAAAATGGTTATTCCTTTTTGGGTACTTTGATCAGCAACAAAAGTGTTATTGTGTTCTTATTTGGCTTCATCATGAACATTCTTTAAGATAAACAAGGTGTTCCATACTTCTCTCAGAGCTGTTCTTTCAAGATGGGTACACCCAGAAGTATATATCACTGCATCTGTTTACATGCTGCAGTTCACACTGCAAATTTTATCTCTGCAGCCCCAGTGGCTAGCAACTGAAGTTTTTTTTAAAGTCTTAGATTATGAAACATAACATGGCAGCCACTAGGCAAAAGTGCTGGATATCCAACCAAGCATGCTCCACTCAAATCCAACCTTTGGGTAAAATCCTCTGTCATATGGAACACAGCAAAATGCACTAGAGCAGTGGTTCTCAAAGCTGGTCCATCGTTTGTTCAGGGAAAGCCCCTAGCAGGCTTGGCCTGTTTGTTTACCTGCTGCGCCCACAGGCTTGGCCGATTGCGGTTCCCACTGGCCGCGGTTCACCGCTCCAGGCCAATGGGAGCTGCGGGAAGCGGCACGGGCCGAGGGATGTGCTGCTGCCCTTCCCACAGCCCCCATTGGCCTGGAGCGGCGAACCTTGGCCAGTGGAAGCCGCGATCGGCTGAACCTGCGGACGCGGCAGGTAAACAAACCGACCCGGCCCGCCAGGGGCTTTCCCTGAACAAGCGGCGGACAAGCTTTGAGAACCACTGCACTAGATCACTTCTAAATTGCTTCTTCTCTGCCCGGTCAGTTCTCCATTACCAATTATCTTCATGGAGTTATCCAAACGTAAATTAGGGATTGCACCCTTCTTGGTTCCCTCTTTTACATAATGTGTAATGAAGCAGAAAAGTACCATGTCTACTGTCTGTTCAATATATTTCGTCTGAGGCAATTTTTCAGCTGCCTTCTGTTTTTGGCACTTGCAACTGATTACCCATGCATCAGTGGGGACACAGTCCTTATGCACATGCAAAAACTTGTTTTTGCACATGTAGCTTGGGGGTACTATTCAATTTGCATATGCAAATATGCTGCTTGTATGCCCACAACAGATAAATGTCCATTTTGATGGGTGCAAACAGTTAGGTGTGCAAAAGTGGACAACAGTGGAATCCTAGGCTGGATATTTGGCTCTTATTAGCTTTTTTCTTTCCACAGATCTATCCAATTTCAGTTATTGTTGCTGCATCATCATACATTCCTATTATCAAATTACACACTTGTTCCTTAATTTGAATCCACCGTAATTGTCCATCTAATATTTGACTTAAGCATATAAGTAGGTGTTTTAGAAACTGACATACACACGTGGATGTACTGTGTAAAAGTCTCACTTATGACTCATCTTTTCTTTTCAGGAGATAAGAGTAGGCGGTGTCAAATGTAAACAAGTCTTTAAGAAGGTACAGTGAACCTAATCTGCCCATTGCTGATACGGAGATGAAGACGAACAGAATAGAATGTATGGACTTGCTACCAAAGCGCCACATGCTCTTAGTGCCCAAGTATATCCTTAACATCTAGCGAGCAGAACCCTGTGAACATCTGTGCACAGGAAATTAGAACTGTGTAGTGCTGTCTTTGCAAAAAGGATTTTTTTTTAAAGAAATCATTCTAAATAAACAATCATTTTTAAAAATGCCAATTAAAGATACTGAAAATCATAAATCTCTGTGTGTGCTTTACTTTATGGTAGACCTTAGTCTAAAGTAGTTTAATATAAGTGGGTTCAAGGGTTTTAAAATATTGTTATTGCTGTTTCTCATTTACACTAAGGCCACTTTACATTGCAGTAGTCATGTGAAACAGCCTTAAGGTGAACTTTCTTTATAAGATCTTGTGGTGGGGTATAAACTACATTGATGAACAAAGGGGTTAGCAGGAGCCGACTCAAATTAGCCCACCTGGCTGTAACTGGAGGGTGTGTCAGGGTTGGGGAGGAGCTGGGTGGTCTTCTGCTGGAAGGAAATGAAAATTACTGGGGAGAAAGTTCAGGAGAGACCCAAGACAAAAAGGCCCAGGAAGAAGAGGGAAGAAACCACAGGGAAGCTAGCCTCAGGGTAGGCCCTGGGAAAGGGGCTACATTCTAGAGAATAGCGCTGGGGATCAGTTTTCCACAACAGGAATGGAGCTGCAGAGAATCTGGAGGGATTGAAAGTTCCCCAAGAACCAGACAGATGAAGGTTGCTTTAGCAGTGCTTGGGGCTTCCTGAGTTCTGTTGGGAAGAAGTCTGGAACCCCACTCCCACCCCTGGGGAAAAAAAGAATGGGACTGCAGAGGAGCTCAGGACAGATGGAAGATGCCATGTTGATAATTAGAGTTGTGTGGAACATTCATACCCAAGAAAGGGTGAGACTTCAAAGTGACCTGGCCAGAGGATTGAGTAATGAGAAGATGTAGACCGCTGCAGGGCCAGAGGAACAACTGGCAGGGGACGCCGCAGGAGAAATCCCTACTACACCACATCTTGCCACAAAGGGACATTCTAGCTGGTGAGTCCCCCTTTGACAGACCCCTTTTCAGTCCTGGAGATTGTAAAGGGCCATTCATGTAAATGTGGATCAGATCCAAAGTATTTTGTGGTTTAAAAAAAACAAAGATTGAAGTCCTGACTCCACTGAAGTCAATGGCATTTTGCTATTGTCTTCAGTGGAGCAGGATTTCACCTAAAATGTTGTAGTGAAGAGAGATTGTAGTTTCTGAAGCTAAGCAATGTTGTGGACCAACAGTCAGGAAAAATAGTACTTAAAGCTTAAAGAACGAGGAGTCCTTCTGGCACCTTAGAGACTAACAAATTTATTTGGGCCTAAGCTTTCATGGGCTAAAGCACAAACTGGACACCATTAAATTAGGCTTGAATAAAGACTGGGAGTGGATGAGTCATTACACAAAGTAAAAACTATTTCCCCATGCTAATTTTTCCCCTACTGTTACTCACACCTTCTTGTCAACTGTTTGAAATGGGCCATCCTGATTATCACTACAAAAGTTTTTTTTTAATCCTGCTGATAATAACCCACCTTAATTGATTAGTCTCTCTAGACTTGGTTTGGCAACACCCATTTTTTCATGTTCTCAGTGTATATATATCTATATCTTACTACTGTATTTTCCACTGCATGCATCTGATGAAGTGGGCTTTAGCCCACGAAAGCTTAGGCCCAAATAAATGTGTTAGTCTCTAAGGTGCCACAAGTACTCCTCGTTCTTTTTGCTGATACAGACTAACATGGCTACCACTCTGATACTTAAAGCTTGTGACCATGGGCCAATCCCTTTTTAGGGGTATTATCCAAGGCTTTGTGCATTGATTTTGTTTCTTATTTCAAAGAGGCTAGCAGGTAGCAGTGCTTCTATATCCTGGGAAATTTCCCCAAATCTGGGAATTTTTGAGTAAAATGTTTTGAATGAAAATACCCAATTTCCCAAATTGAAACATTTTACTCACACATTTCCAGGTTTGGGGAAATTTCCCAGGATATAGAAGCAGTGTAAAAAGCTTTCTGGGAATTTTTCACCAGATTTGGGAAATTTTTACCGCTAGTTTGGGAAAAGTTCGCATCACGATACAGAGGCACTGGCAGATAGGTAGCTAAACCTACAAGGAAGTTTTTACTGTGGCTGCTAGAAATTGTGCATAATAATCTCCTGCCACGTAGAAGATTTAATGCACAAGTAGTATTTGTAACTTTGATTGACATACCAGAATATTCATGTTCTTGAGCTGAGGGAGGAGTAGAGCACAGCACCAATCGGACAGTGATTAAATCTGTTTAAAATTAAGCATATTAAAAGTAATTGAAAACTTATTTCATTATTGGAGTATCAATGCACTGAAATGCTATGGTACAGCGTTTCTCAAAGGGAGGTCCATGGGGCTCGCTGCTCAACTCCTCACCCCGTCCCTCAACTCCTCCTAGTGCCTCCTGCATGCCTGGAAACAGCTGTTCAGGATTTCACCCCAGAGGGATGAGGAGGAGTGGGGATAGGGCACGCCCGGGGGAGGGGGTGGAAAGAGGCAGGGAAGAGGAGGAACATGGGTGGAGAGGGGGTGGGAAAAGGTAGGGTGAGGTGGAGTCTTGGGGGAAAGGGTGGAGTGGGGGCTGGGGCTGAGCAGGGGGCTCAGCAAAAAAATTTTAAATCAAAAGGGGCGTCCTTGGGTTGCTTAAGTTTGAGAACCACTGCGTATACTAAATTAGACCCAACTGCTGCAAGGTGCTGAGCACCATCAATTCCCATTTAATTCAGTGAAAGTTGAGGGCACTCGACACAGTAAGCATCAGACCTGTAGTACCTGATATATAGCACTAAGTGTTCTTTACACAAAAACAATGGTTATGAGCTGTTTTCAGGGGACCAACCAAGGATAGACCTGAGATAAATAATAGATGTGAAACATCTTGCATATTTGCACTGAAATGTGCTGTTTATATTCCCACTTTCTGAGCTCCCCCTCTTAATTTGTTTTATCACTGCTGGCCCGTAATAGCTATGAATATAGAAATGCAGCACAGATAATCAACTGTTTATGTAATTCTCTAGCCATAACTATAGTGCCATGATATGGAAGTTAAATAGTAGACAGGTTCTGTACATGGGTCATGTCATTCTACTGTACATCAAAATCTACACCCTCAAGTTGTCCTATGTATCTGTGCAATTAACAAAGGGGCATGATGAAATACCCCCTTTGCATGTAACTTTTTATGGAGGTGTTTTGTGTGGTCTGGGTCTCAGTGTATGAAAAGTTACAAATTCAATGTGATATTTCTACTTTAGTAGTCTGTGGTTATTTAATGGCAATGTATGTGCTTAGGTTTTGGGAGTAATATTTAGACTCCTACTCACTGGGCTTGTGGGCTTTAGACATGTAGAGATAATGGGTTCACACACAGGGGAGAGGGTGTTAATTGTCTGTCTCCTTTGGTTTCTATATTTTGCCATCACTGCTGTATCTGAATGCCTAAAGAGTTGTGTCATTCTTTCAGCATCCCTATTAGCTGATACATAGTATGGTTGTGCCATGTGTTCTGTCTTTCCTCTAAATTGGAGGTAGGACAATGCAAAGATGGCTGAAAGTGAATAGAGTACAGGCACTCTATAATGAAATGGGTGAGGGGAAACTCAAAAATCTGGTTAACCTCCTGGTCAGGGTCCGGTTCTCTTGAAGAAGAGCCCTTGCTCAGTTGTTTAAAATTATCCACTTAGAAAACGTTCGACATCACCTCAGGTCAGGATTGGGGATGCCCTAATCTCCATACTCCAAATCATCAGACATTTCCTTCTCTTGGAAGAGTTACTGGTTTAGGAGCTAACAATTGCCTTTTAGCTATCCAGGCTATGGATTTTACACTGCAAAATTCCAGACATCTCTGACCAAGGGAAATGTAATATAATGAGCTATAATGACAAATCTCCTTGCTTTTTATTTATAACCCAAATCTCAATTCATTAAAGGATCACTATTATTCCTCTCAGGTGAAAATTAAGATTACACCTTAACAAAATAGTTCACAAGCCTCTATCTGTAATTAAATTTTGCATAATTCTTTTTAATGCTCAGCTCCACTCAGACATTTTTAAAAAATTCTTTCCTTCAATAAAGCTTGACAGTTCATAACCCTTGATTCACCAAATGTCTTCTAATTTTTGCCGCCAGCTCCCTGCAATCTTTTTTGCAACATTCACAAACTCTTGTGGAAGGTTCTAAGTGGATCAATTAACATCTAGCTAATTAAATTCAATTGTTAGAGACCTATTATTATTGTAATCAAACAGATAGCTTTTCTCTGTGGGGTCATTTGGTACAAGGGCAAATTTAGTACTATAGTTAATAACTAATGGGTTATCAAATGGGCACTGTAACCTGTTTACAACTATAGAGAAAAAGCAGACTCAAGAAATGCTTTGACATTTTATAGAACCTATAGAAACTTTTCAAAAATCTTTAACTTTCAGTAGATTTTCTTTAAATCACCTCAATTACTCATCATTACAATCTCCATCTGCTATCTTTACTGCAGCACCAGTTTTCCTATGAAAGAGACAGAGAAAATTCAATTTATTCATTGCTTACCGTGCAGTGCCCTCCAAACAATGCATACAGGGCTAGCTATGCTTTTAGCCCTATTAAGACCTTAACAACAAGGCACCAAAGTAGAATTTTAACTTCCTCTGTAAAGTACCTAGTTGGTTTGGATGTTATGAAGTCAAAATCTTTATCTATGACTTGACAAACAATACCAGCCTCCCCTACCGCTCATAAAGCTACTTATTGGCTAATTTTAAGACCTTCATGGTAAATTCTTGCCCAGCTGTTTGCTGCTCAGAGATTTCTCTTTGACATTGATTATTTCCTTGATCTTCCACAGCCATCCAGCTCTGGTTAACCAATACATCCGGCTTTCCTTATTTTTGCACAATGCGTTCCTTCCAACCACTGTATTAGATTTTTGCTGGGAAATAATAGATGATGTATTAAAACAGCAGCAGGGATAGAAGGACTCAAGCATGCTTACTTTGTCCTTATTTCAAGAAATTAAACCCAGTCTTGGTTCTATCTTGGGTCTAGAGAAATCTGTCATAAAAATAAAAAGTAAATAAAATGCAACTGTTTCCCTTTAACAATTGCACATCTGTTCCATTCACCTCCTTAGTGTTTAT